GGTGTGTAAGTGTAGCCTATAACTTCAGATGGATGACAGATTATTATAATAATAGATTTTTTGTCTAATATTAATAGTAGTAGTTGGACTGTAAAATCAAAATAAGTTGTTATTATTATTATTAAACCAAAGCTATGTTTCGGTTGAAAATTTAAGCTGTCAAAAACCACCGTTCTACCCTTCTCCGTTGTGTTTTCTATGTTTCCAAATTGTGACTAATCTTTATTGAAATTCACTACTGGGTGTGTTTACTTTTCATTTCCCACACACACACATAATTACTTGCATATTTACTGAAAGTGTTTTTAATGAAAACTGCATTTTCTACCAGAAATTACAAAAGTTACTACGAGTACTACTACTACTACTACGACTATGACGAGAAGTACTCATACTCGTACTCGGACTGGTACTCGTAGTAGGAGAAGTACTACGAAAAGGCAAACAAATGGGCGATACCAGTCAAAAGGTACCACGGCACAGGCGAACTCGTGAAATTGCTGTTGTTCGGTTGCCGGTTGACTTTCCCAATTTAGGCCAACTTTGTATATTTTGCAATGAAAATTGTTTCCAAAAAGTGAAAAAAGTACACAACTTGTGTTGTTATATTTTCAATTTCCATTTCTGAAAGCGATGAAGTGAAATTTCGTGTGGAGGAAGGAGATTAAAATTAGTTGAAGTTTATTGCATCCTTAGTCACTAATAATCAATCAGATTTCATATTTGTATTTTCTAATTTTGAAATTAGTTGGTTTTATACAAAACTTAAAAGCATGAAATTGTAATTAATTAGATAATTTAAGTTAATTACAGTTTATGGTGTAAATCTTTTAAAATTCTTAAATTAAAGAAAATTTGAATTTAAAGATTGAAGTGAGTTTTAGGATTAGGTATTTTATATTCAAAGGGTTTAAATTTTAACATGCTTCCGAAATTTATATCAAGTTTGAAAAAACATTTGTAACACAGTGAAAGGGAATTTGGATTCGTATACACCACATATATTCCTGATCAATTAATAGAACGAAGCAATTTCGTCATTTATTTATTTATCTTTTTAATACTCTCTTAATATTCTGGAAATAAAGATAAACTAAAGAAGAATTTCGAAAAACGAAATATTATATATATTATATATTATACACGCTGTGAAAGTTATTTTTCTACTACTTCTTAGTTTTCCATTATAGATGTGAATGATTCTTGGCAGTGTACAGTATTCTCCTCCAGCCCTTCCGATCAGTGGTTTTGGTAGTACCATTTGCCTTCATGTGATTGTTTACCTAAGCCCTCAACCAAATATGGGATCGTGCTTTGTGCCAAATACCTTCATATGATTACTAACCTAGTTCTTCCAATAAATATCTAAACATGCTCTATTACCAGTGAATACTGAACCAAGTACCTTTACAACCAAATCCGTTGAATTATTATACACGTACCTATATCGATATAGCAGTAAAGTTGGTGGTAAACTAAAGTTAATATATTGCAGTTCTTTTATAATAAGCATATCTTTTACATAATATCGACATATTTCTTTTTTGAATTTAGTTTTAAATTATTTTCATGTAAATTTTTGAATAAATGAAACAATTTCATAAAGAAAAAAATTTTACAAGATTTGTTGAGAAAACGCCCAAAATATATGAAAAATGATCCCTTTCAACGGCCTATATCTCTAAATCTTGTCAAAATAATTCAAAATGTTTAAGAAATTTCTGTTTATCAGTTTGGATGGTTTTAAAATAGGAAATTATTAAAAATTGTGATGTTTGCTGTTGTTAGGTTGAATCTATACCTAAGTTCCCTACTTTGAAAGGCATTACACCATGCCTTAATATCAATTCTTTTTAAAAATTCTTTCCACATATTTTTCGTTTCCCTTAAGGTACCAGAAAATGATATAACCAATCTAATTTGATAAAATAAGTTCAGATCCACCTTAAATATATATATATACCTATATAATAGAAAACACAAATTAATTAAATAATAGATTAGTATTCCACTACTTTGAAAAAATTTTATTTATTATTTGTAAGTATAAAAAATTTATTATATATTTATTTTAAGTCGGACAGACTAAGGCCATTTTATTAAATATTTTAAAACATATTGTTTTAGTTTACACTAGACCATTATTTTTTTCTTCAAAGTTGAGTTTCGATCTTGTTGAGTCTAATCAGGTATTTTCTAAGTAATATCTTGCCAAAATAACGCTTTTATAATGTTTCTTCTTTTCTTATTCTATATACCTATTAAGATGTAAACCTAAATTCTTTAGATAGTGTCACCGTTTAGCTATATAGCTTTTGTTTAAACCAGATGTGAATAAAATAAAAGCAATACAATATAATAGATTGCTTGTCGCTTTGGTTACGTTTTTTTCTACATTCGTTAAGATTTTTAGCCACTTCATCACCTGTCAGTTCAATAGTGAGAGTGGTGCTGTTTTTTGCGTATAAATTAGCGGCTTTAAGTAAGCGACTTGTTGTTTTTTATTACACTTCGAAGCGGCCGAAGACACCTAATATTACAATCTTTTACACAAGCTGACGAATAAAGAACTACACACGCACCTTGATTTTCGTAGACATGAAATGAACAACAGAATCATAAAGAACTCTTTATAGCTGATCTGGATGATATTATATGACCAGACAACTTCCTATGAATGCTACCGGATAGCATTGTTGACCGTAATTTTTCAACTTGAATTGGTGCAGACATTTGTCAAACACTGACTCTAGCGGCTAAAAATAAAAACTATTTTTCTGTATGTCTTTGCTAAGGGGAACGCACTGAAATTAGAACACTGAAGAATATCGTAAATTTATGAATGTAGACAAATATCGTATTCATAGAGAAATCCAAAGACCGTATGATGCGGTTACTGTCCATGCTAAATTTATTTAAATTTTAAATTTTAAAAATCATTTCAAAACATTTATTTGTTTCAGTTTTAATATCTTTTCGGGTTGTTTATCGAAGAGAATTTACAATTTCATATAACTAAATAAATATATTAATTTAAACATTGACAATTAATTGAAACATTGAATATATATTAATTTAATAGCCTACGTTGCATATTTCAACTGCTCTATATAATAATAATATATAACATAACTAAAAGTTTTTTATGAAATATACTTGCCAGAGCGAATTTCAATATTATAGAGACAAGTAAGTATATAAGATGCAGAACCGAGAAGAGGCAAATGGAAATGGATTAGTTATACAACACGCAAAACGAATTCTTATATAGCTTATTAAGTTATATTAAGGAGAAAACCTTTCAGGTAGTCAACGAGCTGTGGTTCGCTTGGTTCTTGACCACTTGTTCTTTTGTTCTGAAGACCTTGAGAACAACAGTTAGTGAAAAACTCGCGACCACATAAAGAATAAAATTCAAAAGCAGATGTTCCATTAGAAGTTAATGACAGAGAATAACAAGATTTCTTTTTTTATACAATACATTATCATTCTTCTTTATTTTTGCTATTATTCTATTACTTTAAATGCCTAATATTTCTTCAAACTTTTATTTAATACAGTTCTAAGAGTTTTTAATTTATACTAAGGGTAAAAATTCAAGGAACGCAAATGAAAAAAAATTTTATTGTGAAAATGACTATATTTGTCAGCAAAATCTCTCTCAACTTAAATAAACTTATTTTAACGATCCTCTAATGTATCGTGAATATATTATATCTCTGTAGCGGAAGATCTAGACTTCCTAGCGAAGCTATCACCTTTGCATTTCATAAGTATTATTTTCCACGAAACAGCTTTTAAGGAATAACAAAAGTCAAAATTTAGACCAAAGGAGGAATTGTGAAGGCGATACAATACGGGGAATACAGGCAGCAGCAGCAACAGCATCAGCGACAGCATCAGCAACAACACAGCACCAACAGTAATAGAAGCAACAGCAGCATCAACAGCTAAAACAACAACTGTGGCGCTACGCCATAAGGAGAATCCACAATATTATTTTTGGTTCAAGCCGTTCTTCGTCGAACACACAACAATAAGTACTAATATATAAGCTCAAAATCATATAAGAATTATATAGTTTTTATAATCTTTAGACTATATTATATAAACTCAAAATCATATAAGAATTATATAGTTTTTATAATGTATTGACTATATTATCAAGGAAAGAATCTATCACAGTTACATCTCCTGAATACGTCACAAGAAGGGAAAATACTAAAATTGGAAGAATCAAATTAGCCACAAAATTACTTCTTCAAAAACATTTAAGGCTTTATTAAGCCTTAATTATAAATTATAAATCCCTTTGAGATTTATATACGATATTCGAGATCTATTGTGCTATCTCATCAGATAGTCTTCTTTGCTAAACAGAAATTAGAAGTATTGAAAAACCTAACGGTGCCGCTTGATTGAAAACTCCGGAACTTTTGTGGTGCAATAAAAACCGGTGGTATTGGATTTATTTGGTGACAATCGCAAGACGCGTGCTAATAAGGTTGCCGAATATTATACTCTTTACCTTACAGAATCTTCTCTTTATTGTATTTTAGTGGTTTCTTTGAGAGGTGGTTCACTTAAACGTGTGAAAAAATGTTGAGCAGCCTTAATTCAGCAGAGTCCGATTCTTTTTAGTCTGAAAAACCTGTTAGCATTTTAGTTAATTACTTGAAATAATCAATGATTTCTATATTTCTATTTCTTATTTCTATAGGGTTTACTTACAAATAAGTAGCAAGTAAACACTATTAAATTCTAATTTTCACTTAAAGTTGTATTTATTTTTTCGAAATTTTTTTTATATTTTATTATATAATTTTTTTTATTAAAATTAATTAAGTATAATTAACAAACTGGAATAGCTTGCGTAACGTTCATACAAATTATGAATAATAACGCTAGGAGTTCCCAAGGGTCAATTATTTTATTCTATCATAAATTTATTTTTAAAAAAATAAATACATATTTTTGGCATTTTTATTTAATAATTCACAGAAATTCTTAATTATGAAATTAATTAGTACAAGAACATCAAACAAAAAATATATCATTACAATTAAACTAAGTATACTTGTGTATAAATGAAAAACTATTACTATTTAAAAACTCGTCATTCGCACTGAACTCGGTTGCAGATCTTCATCGTCATCATCATCGCTGTAAAAGTTGTATATATATTTTAATTTATACCTTTTTGATTAAATATATATAACTAAGAATTTTACACATCTTCATCTATTCTCCGCAGAAACTTCTGTATTTGCTGATTTTTTCCGATTAGAGTGTAAAGAGCGCCAAAACCGTGCAATGCCACGAACAAGCAAACCGCATAATTAATATGTGTCTTCTCCCCTCTATAGTAGTTAATTACAAAGGAGAACATGCACACAAGCCAAGTGACTACTGTGTAACCAAAGAACTTCCAAAATGATTTGAAACTGACACATATAATAAAATTAAATGATACTTAACATTGTTATATATAACAGTCGTATATAAGTTGTTAGAACTCACCGGTTTTCTTCAATAGTCGCAATCAATTTGTTAACATCTGCTTCCTGTCTTTCGGAAATGCGCATTAAAGTCAAGAGATAGAAAAATCCACTTAAAACACAAGACAGAAAAATGGGACCATAGAAATATACCATAATAGACCAGTTTCTGGCTAAAATTATAATAAGAAAACCGTGAGATATAATAATATATATTAATTTCTTATATCCATTAATAAGCATAATAATTGAAAGTACTTACGATCGAACCAACATGAATCGCCACCGAAAATTGGTTTATTCTGGTAATAGTCGAAACCCACGTAGAAGGACCAACCAACACAGAGCAATACAATTGGACAAAAAGTTAACCAAAACATTAGTTTCGTCAAAATAACGCCATGGAAATTTAAATAAAAATTAAAGCTGATAAATGTCAGTATGAAGAAGGACAAGACCAGAAAACATAAGGCAAAGCAAGCTGGAAAGAAATGACTCTTGAAATCTATGCAATGATAATATCTAAAAAAACTTTTACGTATGTTGGAGCAGGAAAATTTTAACATATTCGCTGGATCATTCAATATTAGGTGTGCCAGAAGTGAATAACCGATTATAATGCATAGTGCGTAGCATTTGATCGCTACACCGTAGAAGGTGTTTCGCAATTCTGTGCAGAGCAGATGTACGAACAAAATAATGCTCATGCAAATTACGGCTATGATAAGACCTAGAAATGTATGAGTGTATATCTTATTATTATTATTTTTATTTTTTTCATTCAAATAAATTCATACAGTACTTATAAAATATATGAAATTTTACTTAAAATCTAAATTGATCATAACATATTTGTTGTGTGTCAGAAGATTATACTTCACAGGATCATTTCTGTTCTTCGTCAGTCTTCATTTACTTTAAATGCAAAGTGACTACATATATATTTTGTTATAAGTAAATAATATAACTATAAAATAACAAAATATTTGTAACTGATTTATTATAACCAATTAAATACTCCACAAAGGCAGATTGTTTTAATATAAAAGTAGGAAGTAGGAAAACAATAAAGAGTGGGGGGCTTTGAAGCATGGGGAACGTAGAATTACAATAGTAAGGAGAATTCTACTTGCAACTTTTTGGATTATTTCAAACTAACTGTAGTTCGTTCAAATCAATATTTTCATATGAACCTTATATTTATTTTAAAAAGATTCTTTTTAAATGAGTACACTCCACTGTGTTGATATTAAATTGATTTGATGCTTATGTATTGTCTTGCTGTGCTAAGGGAAAAAAAGAAAGATCTAGACGCAAACTAATCTCAAACGAAGAGCAATCTGAAGACTTTCAAATTCGGATCAGAAGTGGCGGCCTGTGTCCAACAGGTTCTACGAGAGGCATATGCCATGGATAGCCAACATATAAGGGATCCTCCTGAATTAATGCAAAAGTAGTCCCGGGAGTGGAAATCCCATAGAAGAAGAGGGGGTATTTCAGTTCGTATATATATACTACATAGTAGGAGTCGAACCCGCCATTCCGTCGACGGTCGGTTTGACAGGGCATAAAACATTCCACCTCCTCCCCACAAAAAAAGTGTCTTCCTGACTGATGTCGTTGCTATGTCGTTTTTATGTGTTGTTGTTGTCTATATAATTTTGCATTATGAATTATTCATGTAATTTATTAATTTAATTTTTCTTTACTACGCTTAAATTAGCATTACATAGGCACTGCATGGCAAGAGTAGTTTCAGACAAAATGATAGTGGTAAACGTACTTACATATAGACAAATAGATAATCTTAGCTACGTTGATTCATTTCACAATGATATAGTATGTGATGATTTATTACCTGCATACTAATTATTTTAATAAAGTATATATTTATTGAATATAGTCTGAAAGACATAATAATATTTGTTGTATAAATGATACATGTACGCCATATTGATATAAGTATAATTCATCTCATAAATTGCCGAAAATTTTTATATTAGTGCTTTGTAAGCAACAATATATATGATAACAAAATATTTTCAATATTTTAAAATATTTTAACTCACATATAGCATAAGTCCATTCCTTAACACCTAATACAAATGGCAGCTTCTCGGGTGCACACGCCAGAGGTTGCCACTCCCACACAGAGTTTGGTTTCTCATATGGAGTGTAGCAATAATGTTTTGAAAATAAATGATTTTTATGTGAAATGCTGCCGTTCTGCAAATAACAAAAATTTGATTTATTTAATAAATAAAAAATAATAAAAATAAACAAAAAGTAATTATTTCATTCATATCAAATGGTAGGATTAAATGTAAAATTGAATTTATAAAAAATATTCTAATAAAATTATTTCAGTATCTATTAAAACTTTTTAATATAAATGGTTTAATTGTAATCTTCTTAAAAAATATTAAAAAATCTTTTTTTAAAAATTATTACAATATTCCTAGAAAGAATGACTTCCATGAAATTTAAAATGATTTTAATAAAAATCAAAATTTAATTACAATTCAGACAACGCCCTTGGCCTTACTTGAGCTTTAACATTTCTTAAATATTTATGAGCTTAAATTCACTGGCGCCTTCACCCAAATAATCACACTCGAAATTAAATTAAACAATAAAATTTTCGACTGCATTAAATGATAAACTGCAGGACTGATTTTTATTATTACGAATCAAGGTCTAACGTACATTAAAGAATTAAAATGCATATAGCAAAAATTCGGGAAGCGAACCAGAAGGAAAAGTCTTCAAAAACTACAAATGGTTTGTACCATAACCATGCCCAATTTATATATAACTTTTTGATTTATATATGCATACGAATTAAAAATATCGCACCCACTCAGCAACGAAACTTGTATAGTCCTATAGTACGGCGAACTAATGTATTCTTTCGTAGGAAATTGAATGAATACTTATCGTCTTTACTACGGTTGCATTCTATAGATTTCATGAAATCTATAAACTGATAAAAAAAATAAACCTAAATTATTTATAATTTTTTTTTACTAAACCTCATTCAATTGGAATGAAAGTTATGTGGAGATAATGAACCATTTAACATATTAAATGAGAGACATTTCATTCCAGTTAAGAAAACAATAATTTATTTATTAAAATTAAGCCCTACAGGCTAAGCTATCTAATTTTTTAGCTATATAATCTTTTTATCTGTTTTATTTATGAGAGATACTTATAACTACTTTACTTCATTTTCATTTAGTTATAAATAAACTGTGCATGGTGGGTCTAGCATCTGAAACCTCTCCAACCTTCACACAAACAATCTGTTGCTTAAAAGATTTACAACGAGTTCATTGGGCTGCTCGATTAACCTTTCCATGCTTCTCTTTTTAGATTTTCTAATTTCTTCTCTTCCAAAAAGAGTTTTCGCCACTTAATGTAGTTTTCAGTTTTAATTCACATGTACAGGAAACACAAGCAGTAGGAGACTCCATAAAATTGCTAGATTTTCATATACTTTTATCGCGAATTATAGAAATAGAAATTGTCTTCATGTAGGGAGAATAATTAGATAGCAAAAGCGAGGGTTAACCTTTACGGTTTACAAGTTCTGAAGATTGTTCTATATTCCTTGAAATGTGGTCTTTTTTATAGCATTGTCACTATCCAATGTTGTTGTTTTAATGTTTCTATGTTAAACAATATATTCATTTTTTTTTGTATAATAGATAAAAAATGGTATACTCCATTGTAAACTTCTGAGAATTATTATAATTATTATAAAGAATGTTTTGAATTATAACTTCAGAACAATTATTAGAAGTGTTCGAATAGAAATGAAAAGACAACAACAAAAATGTAGTTATTCGAACTTTTAAACAAGTTTTAAATAGTTTCTTTTCGTCATAAGACGTGTTACTCTTGGAAAGAAAAAATTAACATTACAGAATAATTATATTTACTTACCAAATGTCAATGAGACATTTTTTTTAGCTAACATTGCTTTAACATTACATACTTTATTTTGACTTCTATGTCAAAATAATCATCACTAAAGTTCTATATTTAATTTTATTTTCTTTGATAATGGAAAAAATAAATGTCCTCCTCCTTCTTAATCGCGTTACATTCAAAGCTTTGTTCAGGACTTACTAATTTTTCGTTTTGCTACTTCTAAGACTTTAACGCACTAAAACTACCTTACCAGAATAACATGTAGGGCAAGTACACCATTTAGATCGCAAAGATCCATTGAAGTGTTAGTCCACTTTGATATATTAGAAACATTTTCGGTTGTTTCTGAGAAAATGTTGAGAAATGTTTTATGTTTGGATGTAGGTAAGGAACTGATATAGGAACTACTTTCAATGTTTGACTGGAGAATTCAGTGTCTATCACTTGACAGAGTCGCCCAAAAGCATAAAAAATGTTTGAAGCAAGTGGACTGTTCAACGATCGCATTAGTTGGTAGTATATAGTCATTGCGATAAATAGTCACAAGAAAACCTATAGCGTTTCCTATGATTTCAGGTAGAACCATGTTTGTGTTCCAGCAGCCATCCTAAGTTCACCATTTATTGTTTGATTTTTATTAATATAATATAATAATAATTTATAATATATAGACTAAATAAAATTTGTTGAAATTTAGTTACAATTTTTAGTGTGACGTGAAGGGACAAATTTATCTTGAAAAAACAGACAAAACTATGTTGAGGCTATATTATTTCGATTAGTATATCTAGATTCAATCTAGATCATTTAAATTTTGTTGCCAAATTGAACATTTTCAGAGCTATCAATAATTTTTGTAGTAGTGTTAGTAGACATTTATATTTTTCATAAATACAAATCATATAAAACAGCTGTTAATTTCAGGGTAATCGTGCTAATCTGGGTATTATTTAGAGTGTTATAATTGCACAATCTCAATTACAAAACTTTCTCTTAATGAGCTTCTTTCATATAATAATAAATACTTTTTCTGGAAACGAAATAATTGAGTTATTTAAACATTAAACGACAATTAAGTTTTCTCTAGAAACGGAGCTCTGGCATGGCTCCTACATCGCCTAACTTAACGCCTATAAAGTATTTTTTGCTTAAGTATTTGAAATTAATGGTATATGGAGACAAATCAACAGTGATTTCAGCTTTGGAAGCGAACATCAATTATATTTTTAAATTTTAAAAAGGCTGTAGATCCCTAAGCACAGTTTCCAAGATTTCTGTGAAGACCATTATTATTTATTATAATACTAGCGGACCCGACAGACTTCATTCTGTTAAAAAGATTTGGAATATGACAGTTTTTTGTTCCTACCTATTTTATATTCGGGGCAAAAAAATGTACTGAACAGAACAGTCATCCTGGTGAATGGGGTTCAGTTTGGATCACCAAAGTATCTTCTCTTCCAAGAACCTTGGCCACCCTTCTGGGATCCACTGCAAAACCCCGACTGGGATGTCTTTCAGAGGTTTTCAAACTAAGAGGCGAACTTAGCGTTCAAACCTGATTGGAAAGTCATATAAAGGGACAGTGGAGACCTAAAGGTGACAAATATATAAAAAGTGGGTAGCTCGCTTGGATAATGGAGATAATGATCTGCAAAGGAAGTCATGGGGATTTAATAAACATACCTACAATAATCAACAACTTATTACAACACACAAACTCATCTATTCTGGTGACGTTCTTGTCTTTTTATATGTAAACATCAATTGAAAAATGTGTTGATAAGCGCAGAACTCAACAACGCCTGGACCAATTTTTTCCAGCCATCCTTGGATTTAAACGAAGATTTAATAAAAAGAATTGACCAAATTGGTCGAGGCGTTGTTGAGTTATGCGCTTAAACACATTCTTCGATTCATTTTTATATATAAGATTATTATTATTATATTATTTTCCGTCATCAATGCTGTAAAATTATCTATCGAGTAAAAAATATTTGATTTATTCCTTCAAATATCTTTTGTTTTTTAACTTGCAATCCCATACCTCTTCAACAGTTAGAGTTAATTTTCTTTGTTTAATTCCTCAGTTAGTATAATCCTATTAATTAAATGCATATAAATTTGAAATTTTACTATCATGTACGCAAGTTACCCTTCACAGTATTGTAGTAATTCTGTTATTATATGTCATAAATTTTTAACCCAATATTTAATGACATCCATGCATGCTACTTTTCTGTGACTTAAGAACACTTAATTAAATTGAACTATAACTTTTAAGAACTTTTAACATGAGAGGAATATATGAAATATATATATCACATATATAAATATATTCTCATGTTTCTTTTTTATCTTACCTACAATAAACTTTCCATTCATTCAGTCAGGACTTACCTCATATAAATTCCACTGAACAATTTGATTATTTTTCTTCAATAAACGCATATTCTCACAAGGACTGCCAATGTGTACTGAAAAATGTGTTGAGGTATTAACGATTCTCGAGGTGCCATTCCACTGTTTAATCAGCATAAAGCTCTGATCCATCAAAGGCGCAATTTTATCGCTACTGTTGTTGCTACTGTTGATACTGTTGCTACTGTTGCTACTGTTGCTGCTAATCTGACTATTGTTGCTAGCGCTAATGGCAATGTGTTGCTGCATATTGGGTTCAACAACATCCGGGACTGCGATACACGTTTTATTCTTGACATCATAGTATTGTCCTTGTGTGCAACAAAAGCGTATGCACGGTTTCAGTTTGCATACACAGGCGCGTAAATGTCGCTCTGCCGGTACGCGTACACCGTCCTGTATGATAAAGTCATAAGCCGCTACCAGTTCACGTGGTATTATCATCCATTCGTATATGTACGACATATTCGTTGTGTCGTGCGAAAAGCTACCCGTGATGTTTGCCGTGTCTATGAAGGCGCAAGGATATTTTGATTCCACCTGATGTGCGTGGGTGTAAGTTGCACAGCAGAGAGCAATTGCAAGTAATATTTTTAACATTTTTATTGACTTCGTTACTGGTGAGGTAAATGGTAAATGGTGAGGTTGATGGTGAGGTTAATTGTGAGGTTGATAGTGAGGTTGATATTTATGATATTAAATCCACTGTGTTCACTTAATTCTATTAATATTTCCTTGTATTTTATAACTAACTTAAGTACTTTATATCAAGAAATTAAATTCACTTTCACTCGTTGCTTAGCACATTTTTAATATTTATTATTTAATTACAATTGATTTTTTAATAAACTGTTTGATTGGCAACTTGACCGCACTACCCAATCAATTCGCAACCTCAACGCTTCGAATATTCAAATGAAATATTTTTCCAACGTTTTGTTTACAATTCTGCGTGTTTATATCAACGCAAGCCAGAAAGAAGTACATAGAAGATAGAGGCGAATTGATGGTACATCCAATGTGAATTATAAATTTAAATTTAATTTAATTTAAAATTCGAATTCAAATGAAAATGAAGGAAATTAAATTGTTGAACGCCCGCACGATTATTTATTTCACACAACGATGACGTTATTATTGTTAAAAGCTTTCATATAATCTAGCTCCCTTTGCGTCTTCGTGATGTACTTTCCGCAAATACCATGTACCAGCTGGATAATGACGGGGACAGTGGCCGGCCAGAGAAAGCACTTCAATATTTCAGTTGGCAATGGACAATGCAACAGTTGAAAAATAAATGCATTTAATATAAATTTTGTTTTAATTTTGTTTTAATTTTGTTTTAATTTTGTTTAATAAAAATGTCTACCGAGAACCATAAACTCTGCGAATTCCGTTCCATGTCCGTACATTTCGCGTGCTCAAGTTCAACTGAAGCCGCCGCTCGTTGTTGTGCCAACACCTGGTAAAGGCCAGTCCATCAGACGCGCAAAGGGGCTAGCAGGCATTTGGAATTTATTATTTTATTATTATTTTGTATTTTTTTTTTTAATTTGTATTTTTTTTTTGTTTTTTGTTGTTCTGTAGCCTTTAGCTCTATTAAGGAATTAAATACTCTTTACGTAAGTTAAACAAAATGAATTTGTAATGAATTGTTTTCACTTCCTTCACGTTCGTTTATAATTTTTGGCGCTCAACAGTGTTTTCCATTACGTCATGATTAACCATTTGTTACGCCTTCCACCTTCCCCCTTCCTCCTTCCTCCATCCTTCATCCGCATTTAACTTCCTGACATCCTCCGGTTTATGTATTTGCTTGAAATTAGTATGTAAGGTGAGATGGCAGTGCCTAATTTATTTGTACCATAGGCGAAGGGCGTCATTACGTTTTTCTGCTACTTATTTATGTTGTTATTAAAATATAATTGAAGGCTTTAAAGAATTTGAAGGGTTTGTGAGAATAAGAAAATTGATAGGCGGCTAGTCGGTGCTTTGAGTATTTTATCAAGTTTTTATCCTTCAATTAAAACTTTTTGAGTATAATTTTCAGTATCTTGTTTTTTAATGCAAAACAAAAAATTTACCAAAAATTTTATCTACAAAAGAAACACAAACTTTAAATTGAGCAAAATATTCCACGTGTCGATTTTTGCATATATTAAAAGCTAAAAATAAAAAAAATTGTAAAAAGTATTCTAGGAAAATCACCTCACAGTTAGAAAAACACAATGAAGCAGATTTCGAAGACGTGAAAAATATGGTTGTTTAGTTTTGATAGCAGCAGAGCATCCTCCCCTACCGGGAGTAAACTATCTTTAGAGCAAAATGAGTACTGCAATAGAAAGGAACCATTTTCGGGAACCGAAATTTTTTTGGCGTGATAAGTTTTTGATACCTAACACATCGACTGATAAGTCCACAGGATAATTAGTAAAACAACAACTTCATGAGAAAATTTGATTTTAATTATAAATGTAGACTCTTGAAAGATTCTGTAGAATCTTGATAATTCTACAATCATTCCAGCACATCTCTAACTTTTCGATTCATTCTTGGTCTTAAAATATGACTCAGTTTTATCGGATTACTTTTTCATCGAAGCCAAATCTCTTTCCCTGAAGCAATTTTTAAAAGTCTGTAAATAGATAGTAATCACTGAAAGTTAAATCAGGTGAACACGATGGATGCGAAAGCAAATCGAAGTGTTATTCGTGCGAATTTGGTCACAGTAATCACGACTTAAGACACGGTCACAGAGACTTGTTTCTGATTCAATGGGGCCGTTATTTCGCAATATTTTTCCAATAAACGCCCCAATTAGGCCGTCATAAGCTTGTCAGCTGTCTTTTGCGTTTTTAACCGCTTTGGTTGCAGTTCACTAGCTGCAGTCTGTAATCCATTATTATATATCGATGCAAAAAGTATTTTTTATCTCGCTTAAACAACTCCAAACTGGTCTCAGAAACATCGCTACGTTGTTTGTTGTTTCTTCAACTGTCAGCAAGCACGGTACCCACTTCGAAATGAGCGTTCTCATAGACAAATGTTGATACGAAATAAAGCCGACACATTTCTCTGAAATCTTTAAGATGTCAACTATCTGCTGCAATTCCACTTTATGATTTGCCAAAATGATTTTGTGAACTTTTTTTGATGTTTTCCGGTGTTGCCACCTCTTTTGAGTGACTAGCGAATTCGGCATCATTAGTTTTTATACAGCGAAATCAGCAAACTACTTCTCTACTTTTTGTCTCGATTGAGCAAAGCCCGATCATCACTTATCCAGGTCCATAAATACAAAGCTATTCAAATTCCATGGATATAGACTAAAGAATCACAATTATGTGCATCTTAGACCTGAAGTACATAGTTTTAGTGAAAAAGAAGACATGCGACACTTTTCCAATAGTATTCAACGAGTTAGAAACAAGTTTTTTTTGAAAATACATATCTAATTAAATTGAAATGACAGCGGTATGATCAACTCTACCATTGATCATCTCTACCGTAATTTATTCTATTTTTGGTTGACCAACATAAGTTAATAATGATAAACAGAAAATTCTATTGAATGGCTTTAAACAAATAAATCTGTTGGTTTCATTACTAATCAACCGGACTTCTTGAATTACAAGAGCTTATAATATATATATAGTATGCCAAATAATAAAAAACAATAATATATTACTGAAAGTGGCTTGTTTGTCGAAATATTGTAATTTATTGATTTATATATTTGTTATCTATAATCTATTTACCTCTAATCCTTTCAACTTGTAATCCATCGTGAAGACACTACCAAAACAGGATTTTTGAATGAAACAACGACTCATTCTGCCGACAAAAATTTCTAATGTACGGGAACGAGCACAAGTCATTGAGTGCCAAATAAGTGCTGTACGAAGAATAATCCATTAACTCGATTTTTTGAGGGCACAGAAATTCAATTGCCAATCTGTGAAAGCTCACAGTATCGGAGGGTTTTGCGGTTTCGTGTTAGGGAGACACTTTTACCTAACAAATGGTGGTGTACAATTCCAAATTGACTTTTCCGCGTTAATCTTTGTAACAGCACTTTTTGTCACCAGACAAGATCTCTGGAAAAAACGAGTGTCCAGCGATTGAAGTGTTTGGAACAATTTTTTTCAATATAAAGACATAAGTATATTGAAATTTTAGGTTTTTGCTTGGTAAAGACAAAAGACTTTTAGTCAATAATGCATTTGCTTTTATGTCTCATTTGCATTAAGCAGTTTTTTTTTGTTAAATAAATGCGGAAAATGGTTTCCTTTAAGCAATTTTTAGATGCTTGCGTGCGAAAATTTTAAATTTAATTTTCTTCAATAAATATTGGCCAGCTTTTCATATATTTTTAGTGCTTCTTTCCAACTATTATAAGACGCTGCCTTAAAATTTACATTGTAAACATATTGTAGCTGTAGATATTATACCAATTTGTTTATTCATTTTGGTTTATTAAAACAATATTTTAATTAAAACTACAAAAACAAACAATGGACGCGATTAGAAACAATCTTAAATTCTTATTTGAGTTACACACCTTTTATTTTTCACTTTTAATTAAACAAAAGTGTTTAAGCCATAAAATGGAAAAATTATTTTTGAATTTTACAAAAATTATTTTAAAAACAATATTTTAATTTAAAATAAATAATTTATATTTCCAATGTGTATATGCTACACATGTTAGGGATGTCTTCTGTATAAATGAAAATAATATTCTTTAATCGTTAATCACTAGTAAAAGCTATATAAATATAAATATATATATATATACAAACAAATAAATATAACATATATATAGTAACATATATATAGTAATATATATATAGTTATAGTTTAGTTATGTATACAGTAAAATATACTAAATAAAAAAAATATATATACTATATACTAAATATAGTAAAAGAAAGGTCATTAGATAGTCATTAGTGCAAGCTATATAAAGAATAATGCAGTAAGAATTTCCATTCGAACCAAAGTTTTGAAAATAAAAGAAAGGAACTAAATATGTCTTAACAGCTATTTGAATTTTCAATAAATTCTTCTTAAAAAATATTTGATTATTCAATATAAAAGATAATCGGATTTCATGCTAATATGTATTTAGTCATATATGGAAGCTTTAACTAAAAAAAAATACTAGAAAAATACTAGAGAAATACTGTTGCCGAAAGTAAGCATATGATTTCAATATCCAGAGCATGCCATTCGACATCGGATTCAATAAGGACTGCACTTAATGTTAATAAAGCTTGAATTTCTCTTAAGAACCTCGGTTCTGTAATATATTCGTTAACGTAAAAAAGTGTAATTTAATACGTAGTCCTCGGTTTTATTTATTTAAAATCAATTTAATAAATTTCTTTTGCCATTTTTAGATAGTTTTTCTATTTCATCTGTTAGAATTTCTGCTCCTAATCGGCGAAAAACTAGCGACTTTTCGGTAGACCAATTTTTTACCATTAAGTTTTGTAGAGATCGAAACAAATGGTAGTCAGAAGTATAAAATACAGGTTTCTAATTATATTCCATCACTTTGTTCTTCGTCATTAAAAACTTGCGTAGTCATTATGATGAAAGAATTGAACTGTTTTTCTGTTAGTCAATTTAAATATATAAGTCATTTTTCCTTTGTTGTTTCAATCAAACGATCAAGTTGTTAGTAGTTTGCACCAGACTAGAGCCTTGTTTGCCATCACTATCATGTGGTTGCTGTTTGGAGCCTGTGTTATATTTTAACAGCTTGTGGTCTTACTTCACTAGTTGCAAAATTTAATCGAAGTTTTTAGTGACAAAAACGGCAAAAACTTTTTATTTTACCCAATATCATTTAAATTAATCTATTAGAAGTCATTTCTAAAGAAGCTTTGTAATTCCAGAATATTAGTTTAGTTTTAGGTTCAAAAATGGCACACAAAAGGAAGATCACCATCTTCTTAACATTATAATGGAAAGACTAGAAAAGAACGTTGATGACATAGTTGTCATTTCTTCCCACAAATCCTGAACTCATCTAAATTTCTGC